TATGGTCGTTGGGCTACCCAGGTAATGACTGAAATAAATCCTTAAGCACTATGTTTTGTACGAATGTTGCGGTCCAGCTGAACCCTCACGAACAAAAAGTTTCAGCATTCCACATGCCCCCGCTCCATTCAAGAGAGTTTCCGCAGAAGGCATCTCATGCACGCCTCAGATGCAGCAGTGGAGGTCAGTCCGGTAGCACACCCTTTGTCCGACATCGCTCCTTACAAGGCCGTTGCAAGCAAAGAGGCAAACGTGGTATCCGTCTGCAGGGTGACCCCACTATCCAAGAATGGAGACACAGTTAGAAGCACCGATAGTTGAGCGGTGAGGCGGAAATGGGACGCCTCCATATACAAGATATATCAGACACTCAGAGATGTTTGCTTCNNCCCCCCCCCCCCCCCTCCCCCCGCAGCGAAAGCAAACAACGTTCGGAGACACCCCGATTTCTTTACATCTTGAAGCGTCATGCACCTGCTGGTTTGGCAACATGCCAACATATTGGTTCCCATTGTAACCCGGCATACTACCGAATGATCTTCAACCAAGACATGAGACAAAGGCAGAGTTTGGATGACAAGCCCTCTCTGTGCTGCATGGGCCATGGGATTCCCAAGTAGGATGCCCCAAAAAGCAGCTCCCAGTTCTCACTACACCGGCAGGCTCCTATAAAGCCGCTAAACTCCTTGGAACTATGAATACGTTCTGCAAAGTCCCCATATTAGCTCTTCGCAGCCCCATTTAACGTCGCAGATTGAGGCCTGAAGGTCCTTGCGACGCTCGGCGCTCCAGTCCTTTCGATCAGCAGGCAGGATCAATCATGCATGAGGCTACTTCTCAACGTGGGCGTTGCCCTGAGGGGTGCATGGGCATATGGTAAGAATAGCGAGGAGGAACCAGGTTTCATTTCTTGAAAAACTTCCATGATGATTGAAACAGCAGTACTCACACCGATGTTTCCTACAATTAACTATCATCAAACATCTTTGGGGTAGCAACGGCAGTGCCCATGATGGTTACAGCGGCAAAAGCAAAAAGAAGAATGACAGCGATCGCCATGGTAACGAAGCGGATGCCTGTAGCAATGGGAATAATCTCTATATCTGGCATGCATACCCGATTAGTTGGTCAGATTACCAATTTCCGTCACTCCAAGTGCTTGAGGTACATCAATGGATGCTCCTGATATGAAATATTCCTCTCACAACTGTACTACTTTGGGAGCATACATTATTATGATCGTCATGCCTAACATTATCAGTATTGTCACAGTTATCATCAGTATGATTGGAGGGTGGGAGTGTTTTCCAGGCATTCAGACCTTGAGGTTGGAGCATTGTATGAATCATGAGACCCTACAGACCTTGGCAGCTCAAGTGCGAATTCCTGCGCCACTATGGCTCCCAGAAGCCGCCAACTGTAACAAAAGCTATGCTGTGTGTGGTGCGCTCTTGGCTGGAGAGGGGGACCTGGCTCTTTAACATACTCCTCGGTATCCTGACTAGAACAAGTCCTGACCCTGAACCTAAAGTAGACTTGTCGAAGCTAGGTGGTCCTTCCAAGTTCCTGCACTGGTACTGTGAGGCTCTGGGAAAAACCCTAAGTTCTCCAACCCTTCACCCATCCCCGGCGCCTGATTTTCTCGCTGGATCTCTGCCTTCTCCTTGAAACATGGAAGCTTCCAACACATTTGTGTGTGAGGACCGTATATGGGCATGTCTCAAATATCCTTGGCAACTACAAGTTTGAAACCCCGTTACTTGCTCTGTTTCTCAGGGTGACCCCTCCCTTGAGAAAAGATCACACAAAGCTGGCAGAGTGGGAAATCAGCGCAGTGAAGCACAGCCCAATGAGAAGTAAGCAGCTCTCTCCACACCTAACACAAGCTTTAAAATCTGTACTTGGTTGGTTGGCTTCACGGGAGACTGAAGCCCTACCGTCCAGCTGCGAGATTGGGTGGTTGTATCATCTGAGTCCTCCCTGACCAGTCTTGTCGGAGTCATACAATGGAGCGAAAGCATCCAAATCCTTTTCCAAGGGTTAAAGACTAGCAAGCCCGAAGATGTTACAACAAAGCACTGCTCCTCATCGCTTACACTGGGACAGACCTGCCTCTTGGCTCAAGTTGCGCACAAAGCTGACTAGGTCCTTGGCTGCTTTCATGTTCACATAGGGGTTACTAATTGAAGATCAAGTTGACAAGAAAATGTCAAATAGAATGGAAGCCACTATTTCGAGTTTAGGGATAGTGCCCTAAATAATCAAAAATTAAATGGCAAGAGAATGGAACATAAAGTCATAAAGTATATTGTGGTTATAGGATGTTGTAGGCATTAACATTCCCAACAATGTCTTGGGGAATGAGTCAGGTTCAGGGCCTAATGAGGTTCAGGTCGTTTAGGGGCTTCGGGTTCAGGGTTTAGGGTTGAAGGTTTCCCTTCCTCATGAGGCTTAAACGTCTGTTCAAGATGTTGACGTTGAAGCCTCAACCTCCGCTACACCGCACGTAAGCCCCGGCGGGATGGAACACCACAACCCCTTACCCTAAGGGTCCAAGGACCCAAATTAGAGGGTTTTAGGGCCCAAATACCATTAAGATTATAGTATTTGGGCCCTAAACCCTATTATTTGGGTCCTTGGACCCTTAGGGTTATTTGGCAATGACCAAGCGTCGTTGTAGTGCGATTTCAGAGTGTCCAGCGAAGCTCCCTGCGAGAAGGCTCTTGAGCTGTTTCGGCAAAGCATGGATGGCTCTGTGTGGGTGCTACAGCTCAGCATTTGGGGCGTTGGCCCAGCCTTGGGGGTCCTACACTAGGGATCCCGCACTTTGGGTCCCACATCCCACAATAAAGGAATGTACCCTTAAAACTGAGAGGGTTCAGTCATATTTGAAAATGCAAGCTAAGTTTGGAAGGGTCTTGGGATAGAGGGGAGTTGCTCCTGACGTGTACGATACGCCCTACTTCCAGAATGGTGTACAAGTTTCTATGGGTCCATGTACCTACCCAATACTTGGGTACTTGGGATTTGGGTACTAGTAATAGGACAGGCCTGGGGAAGTACTGTATGTGATTATTTGGTACTTGAACCCCTGGGAAGTGATACTTGAAAGATCTTTCAAGTCTCCTTGCTGCGCACCTCGTTTGCCAGCGAGTTGTCAAGCGTATTGAGGAAGTAGTTGTACCTGTAGATAAGCTTGGCATTTTTTCATTCCTTTACATAGCAGCACGTGTGACACAAAAGCCAGTCTACTTGTTGGCTCATGGACTGTTCAGGTCAGCGTAGAGGTAGCCTAAGTGCTTGGTTTGTAACCAACGTTCTCCTACGCCTTAGCCCATCCTACCGCCATCCACAAGACTCCAAGTAGACAGCCGAAGGGGACGCTTCAGAAAACAAGTCATGCACATACACCACATGTGAAACATCTCTTGTTATTCCGGCCGAAAGCCTTTCCTGTACACCAAGCCACCAAAAGCCCAGAACTTGCTAATGGCTTAGACTTGCGCTACTGCCCAATCCACTGGTTAATAGCGGCATTCTAAAACCTGATACGATTGCCACCCTTGCCTTTGGGTATCGCTTGTGGTTCTCGTACCGTCAAGCCGTTGATCGTGAAACGGTTGGGTGGATCTCTCAAAACAAGGGGCGCTTGAACACCCTGCAAACATGTAGGGATGACGGGATTCTAGGAGCCTCCCTCGGGATCATGTAAGGGTTGTTTTGAGAAAAAACACCTACGTTGGTCGGGCGTGTAATGCAAGGGCCAAACCCAACATGGTAGGGTTTTGTTATGCTGCAGTTATACAAAGGTTACAATGATCCTCCTTTAAAGCTTGAACTATCCTGAAACTTGAAATATCAGAAAAGGTCTGGGCCAACTTCGAGTGTGCCACTCAGAATATCATCTCCATATGATCCTACAGGCAGCCCGAGGGCCTGGAACCTGAAAGGAGACCCATCCTAAGCAAACGAAGCTAGAAGGGGAGGGGAGGAGAGAAACTGCGATGACATCACCTCCAATTTTGAAGGGACCCAATTAATAGCAGGTGCGCCTCAACACCAGACTCTGCCTGGGCGCGAGATGAAAGCTGAGGTAGCGGGGTTCTTTTGAGGTAAGGCAAGGGTCCAAGTAGGCTAGCAGGGGTGGCCCTGAAACCTTCCATTCGGAAGCTTTGTCTCCATTTTGCCAAGCTTGAACGTGCCTACGTCCTAGGCGACTGCTTCCACGGATGCGTTTAAAGCTGACGTGGCCTGATGCGAACTGCGCTGCTGAGCTCTCTTTGAAATGGTGGTCACTTGCTCACCGCTGTCGCACCGCCCTTTTGGTGAAGGTGCAGTCTGAAGATTGCATGCGAGCTGCAAGTTTCTCGACCCTGCGCCGCTCATGTTGGCGGCACGCGCGAGTCGATCTAGTGTAGAAACTGCGCAACCTCTGGAGCAGTCTTTGACGCTCAATGGAATGCTGAGGCGAGTGTAGTCTGGGTTGGGCTGCATATGAGATCGGATGTGTTTCTGCGGGAGCCAGATTCTGTTGATAGCCGGTCTTGGTACTCCGGCTAGCTTGACCGCAGCACATCATGCATAGCATATAGTATAGCATTCATGAAGCACATCGCATCTTGAACCAGCGGCCAACGGCGTGTGAAAATGAGGCGGCAACCACCTCAACCTTCAGTTTGTTCATACACTTGCGTCTGGGCATCTCAATCTGGTCTGAGCTGATGTTTTTGCATCTGTGCTGTCTCTGTGATCCTGCCCTTCAGGCGGGACTTTCTCAGAATGAGGCCGCCTCAATACCATCCAAGAATTTCCGGAAAAAAAACTACTCTAGGCTGTCCAGCGAAAACCTCCAGTTTTGCAACAACCCTCCTATCGTCCCTGGGATATTACTGCATAAGTCTTCGCACCTCCAAATACTCAGAGTGAGGCCCATCACTTTGAGAACCGTCCTCATCTTAAAGCTCCACCCTGCCGCCGTTCGTCTCAGCTTTGGCTGCCTGGCTTGGGCTGTACGCGTGTACAAAGACTCGCGTTTGGGGTATAAGGTCTGGGCCCTACGGTTTAGGATGGTTGTTACATCCCAAGCTGGGGCTGCGTGCGAAGCCTGAAAGTATGGTAGTTTCTGAACATGGGCGGCCCTGGCCAGTATACTCACAATCAGCATGGGCATTTCGGGGCCCCGCAGCTTTGGCTAAGATACCACAAGAGAATGGCGACAGCATCAGGAACAGCGACAGCGCCTCAGCACTAGACTGCCGGTTCTGTGCCCCTTTCCTGCTTTTAAACAAGATTGGACCATGCAGCGGTCTCAACTAGTGATGGGCAGGGTAGCAATACAGATAGTGCAAGCAAGCATGCTAGTAGCTATCACCACCATAACACTGCTATACTACATCTCAAACCCTCCAACACACATCTATATATCCCCTGCAGCACGTACCAAGCTAGTCAAGGGCAGAATCCTGGCCAGCCTTGATGGCTGCTTTGAGAGCAGTCTTGAAGGCCTCGGCCAGACTTGCCGCCGCAGTTTCTGAAGACTGACTTACCCTCTGAAACGGTGAGTCATATGAGCAGGGACCACTGGGTATGTGATCAATCAGCTTTTTCTAGAGCCCCTCGTACAGTATTGTGTAGGGGTGTAACTCCTAAATGGTGATCTAATTGTTGCTGTTGCTTTGCAAGCTAGGTGTCATGGTCAATATGTCTGGAGTTCTTCCTTGACCGCTGGTGAGAAACTATATGTTCTGCCCAACTTCACTGTCATTGCATTATTCATGCTACAAGTACTGCTGGTATGGCTTCTACTCCTCTGCCACAAACTCTTGTAAGCCTGCCAAAGCAGAGCCTTCGTAAGTCCCACCAGCGCACACAAAAATTGTCTGAAGATGTGCCACCGCAAGAAGAAGGAGTTCTGCTACTTCACGCATTCGCACCTCCAAGTCCTTCGATCTCTCATGAAGAAATCCGACGACTTTGAACAGCAAGCTCCAAATCCCTTAAAGGCCTGAAGAAGTCTGCGAAATAGGCTGAGGGCTAAGGGGCCATACTGCTATGCCATTTATGCGCCACGCATCTCCGCCACATCATCCAATGTTACAACCCCAAAGCACTGCGCTCCAGGCACTTGGCCCTAACCTTATACCGGCCCAATGAAGTCTTGCATACACCGAGACCCTCCGTTTACCCTCTAGAAACCCTGAATAGGGACCATGAACCCCTTTTTTAAAGGGTACAAGGAGGGTCCTGGCAATCCCAAAATGTCGGACACCCATCGTTGGGACTACAAGGCCTGCAGACTCGCAGAAACTTGTTAAAAGAGGACGCCTCTTTGGCCACTACCCCCTCGGTTCTTAACCCTATAAAGGCTTCAGCCCCAAAAACACCACATAAACCCTACAAACTCCATCAAGCCTACAGACCCAAAATATTTGGGTTTTAGGGCCCAAATACTATAATATCAATCGTATTTGGGCCCTAAAACCCTATTATTTGGGTTCTTGGACCCTACAAACTCCAAACCTTCAACCCTGGCACCTGGCGGAAAGCCAAGGCCATCCGGCGATGTTTGCCACCATTGGAGCCCTGAAAGGAGAAGGGCCTGAGCCAGGGTCAAGGTTCAGGATTTGGGTTTATGGGGTTTAGAGCTAGAATCCCTTGTTCCCTACTGTCTCCATCATCCCTACAGCCCAGCTAGAAAGGAACGCGGAGGGATTGGAGGATGCCTCCACTACAAATGGCATATCGGAGCCGTATCAACGCTTCCATTGCTTCTGTACTGCCATTAGGTGCGGACTTCTTTGAACGGGGCAAAAGCGAATTTTGAGATGCTGGCTGTCGGGTGCGTATCGTATGCGCGTGTTTTAGGCGCCTTTGCGGTCGCAATCGAGTTGGATAATTGCCGATGTAACCCAAAACGATGCGAGCCCAAAAGCTATGAGTACAACTTTCCTCGAGCCTCACCATGCTGGCTTCAATGATGATCACTCCCAATTCTTATGGCTAATCCAAATCCCGTCGGTCACGTGCCACAACGCGACTCTTCGCAAGGCGATGCAACTTAAACCCAATATCTAACAGGCCAGCAAGTAGTCAGACTCTTGGTCAAAATGCAGCAACTCAAAGACTGCAAGGATGTGTTCATCAGGTCTCAGCCCTTAGCTATAGCGTTCGTGTTGCAGCGGCTACGAAGGAATGGCATGAAGCTAGCATATGAGCTATAGTCTAAACTTCGCATCCTCCTTAAGAACCCTTGTAGTAGTCCCTATATAATCAATCCCCTACATAAACCCTTTTGACGGGTCTAGACTATAGCTCATATATTCAAAGGCATCAATGGGTCTAACATGTGCCCGAGCTGCTCATCCTCGCTCCCCGCGCCAACCAGCAAACCCATGCGCTCTTCACGCACCTCTTCAGGATTTGGGGGGTTTAGGGTTCAGGGTTCAGGATTTAGGGAGCCTCTCTCGGATCACTCAGAGTGAGGTATTCCAGACCTTGAGGGTGGCAAGAGTGACGAGCCAAGTATGGCGTCGGAACACAAGGGGAACGCTGTTTGCAAACGTGCGTTGGTCGGGCTTGTCTGTGAACAGAAACGATGTCTCTCAAGAAGCGAAACCCAGGACAGCAAAACAAGCTTCTGTGCTGTAAGAGGTGCAGCATAGCCCAAGTACCCAAGAATGGAATACTTCCCCAAGACCTGACTACAATCGGGAATACAAATCAGCAAGCCGCCATCCATTGCATAAAGCAACAAGAGCAATGGCAGCACTTCTAGTAGCCCCTGGGGCCCTGCTCCATGAAGCCACTTCAGCCGAACCATTTACCCACATATGGGGCAGACGTGGCATGAAGATTTTGATTTGTCCGATGTGGAAGTTTTGCGGGTTGCATGGCAACCTGGCATTGTTCGAGTGTTCAAATTGGCGGTGGATCTATCTTGGATACAAGACCTGAGAACCTGCACATGTAGTGTTTTGGAGCGCCGGCATGATGTGCGAATCATCAGCAGTGGCACTTTGAGGGGCTCCAACTCCATCCATACGGGATTCACCGAGTTATCCTTCCGGCTGCGAAACCTGCTGTGCCCCCTGCCTTGAGATCTTCCAGCAGAGCTTCCCCCTCCAGCACCAGCCCAGTCAAGTTAGTACCTGGGCATAGGGCTTCAGATATTTGGATTCTGTGTCTTACAACCCACGAGTTTCAGTGGTTTAAGGTTTCAGGAATGGGCTCTCATCTTGGGGGAACATGAACGAAGAGTCCGAATGAAAAGGTGGATTCTTTGCAGTGAGGATGACACCACGTAATCCGGACTAATGGGGTTTTGCTTATTGTGGCAATTAATTTAAGCAAGTTCTTTAAAAGCAACCCAGCAGCTCATGTGTCCATGCCACCACTTCCAGCCGGCATAAAAATTGAGAATCCAATGGAAAAGGAAATGGAACATAACAGGAAAGCTACCAAATATGGAGGTCGTATATGTAGGGATATGCCGAGGTATGTAAGACCCATGAAGCAACAACAACATAGAGAAAAACTGGCTCCAGCCTCTGGTAATCCATCAGGAATGATGATCTAGCTTAGTTGCCAGACCTCAAAACCCAGCAAAAGTTTTGCGCCTAGAATAATCCATGGAACCTAGCCGAACCCACTGGCTGAAAAAGAACAGACGTCTTTGGGGTCTGGCGCCCAGCGCTCTACAAGACCTACCCTGAAAAACGACTACACCGATCCAACAAGCCCTGTCCAACAAGCTCTAAACTTAGACCCGCTACTTCCGTTCTTGGAAGCAAATCACCCTTCCTGCTTTTGGTGCGTAGCCTTTGCTTGGAATAATACATTCTCCAGGAATTTGGTTCCTCAATATAGATGCTGCTGCCCCTGAAAGGGCTTGCAAGTGGGTGTACCGCACCCGCCTCTGCACCCCCTGATCTGAGACGAAGGCCGGGCCCGTGATCTTCAGTGTCTGCAAACCAGCTTGTGGCACCTTATGCGAAGAGACCCTAAGGGTCCAAGTACAAAGGGGGAGGGGAAAGGGAATATGCAGGGGCAGCATACCCCAGAACTTCCGATGATGAATCAACTGGAAAATTATGCGGAAAATGAAATGGAAAATGGATTCCACAAGGGCTTGTAGGAATTGCGCAACATAGCCCCACATGTTGAAGCAACACAAAATCATACACTGCATATACTTCCCCAAAAAATCTTACGTACCCAATGTTTGGGTACATGGAGCCCTAGGCAGATTTAGCAGGTTTGGTTAACCGGGTCTACCTAGATTTCAGGCCTATGTTTGGCTCAGGCTCAGGAATTCCCGGCTTTGGCGACCCTTGGAATTCCAGCAAACAACCAAAACCTGGACATCAAGGCCCCCAAAACACAAAGCCACAAATCCTCAGCCTTATAACCCAATCCCTGAATGCCAAAACAGATTCCTTGAGTCCTTGAGACGTTTCAATCAGTCGAGGCTCCATCGTCGTCTAGCTGGATCCAAGCATGGCGGTGCTCGGTTTTCACGCTGTTAAACCACCACATCACAGGAGGTTTCTCGATGAACCCGTAGTTCCTCGCACATGGCTGGCGGAACACTGTCGACAGACCACGCCACATGCTATGCAATTCTATGTAGGTGCCTTGACGCCTGGATTGAGCATGCTTCCGTTCATGCATGTGGCCCATGGATGCTATTCACAATGCTTTGCGGAATACTACCACACCGAAAGGGCGCAGTCTAGACAGAGGTAGAGCTACACCTACACCCAACAATACACCGACCGAGAGAATCAGGAAGCCTGCGCGGTAGTGGTTCAAGACCATGCAAGCATACCTCTCAGGGTTGGGTCGAAAGATCTGGTCCTGAAGATTTCTGGTGCTCCGTCGAAGTCATCAGCATGCATGCCAGCAGCCTTGGATGCATCTCCCCCCTTGTAACTGTAGCATCCCTTGCATCATGACCCTCGCTCTTAAGGCAATTCGCTAGTCCTGCAGGCCATGCCTAGGGGCCTACGGGCCCGTGCGTTTAGAGGACCTAGGTCCTCAAGGCAACATCAGCTTGACAGGACGGTGATGATCTCCGACGACCCGCAACTACGGTGTTCGCAGAATGCAGAGCAGCGGCCAAAGAAGGACGGAATGCCACTCCGTTCCTTGGAGGAAGCTGTCTTGACATGGGGCGCTTTTTTTCTCGCAATCCATGGCCCAAAACCTTGCAGCTCTAATTACATGACTTGTGCACGTACATTGGAAGCCGCCTCAGGAGATGCCTGCAGAGCATCAAGTGAAATGTTGTGGTATCGCAATGCGAGGGAATCACGTCAAAAAGTTCCCGCAGCTTCGTTCGTCAGAGAACCGCCTAGGCCTGGTCGCTGGAAGCCTGAATTTGCCCAAATTGACTAGCCGGTCAAACTTGCATCCGCGACCGTTGAAATCAGGGTACCCCTATACTGGCAAACGGAGTTCCCGAAGTCCTGACTGCGAGAACTGAATGGGACCCCTTTGCAGACTGTAGAAAGTTTATACTTGAAAGCTTATGCTGCCTGCCGTGGCTCACCAATGAGTTCAGAACCTCTGTGCCGGCCTTGATTGGGGCTGAAGACCGGAACCAGAAGGTACCTGCATGGCAGACGTCTAGCAACCAACAGGATCTGTCTCTAGGGTTTAGAATCATTTCACGGGACATATGGGCTTCAAAGGGATGCATAGTTGAACCTGCCGCTCTTCACACAGCATTGTAGGAAAAGAAATGGGATTCCGGCGCTTTTGTTCGCAGAGTCCGCGACATCGTAGCTCAAGCTCTACAAGTAAGATGCGAGTAGGAAACGAAGGATAGGATACAGGGACTCATCCTAGGGGGGTACATGGAGGCTAGCTGCCAAAGATCCATGCGCCCGTTGGACCTATGGCCACACAAATCCGGCTACAGTGCTACAGTCTCTCTCATGGTCGTGTGTTGGACCGTCCACCCAAGCCGACCCTGATCCAGAATCTGCAAATAGAATCACATCGAAACAAGTTCTGAAATCCATATCACATATGAGCTATATAGTCTAGACTCCTAGTATCCCCCTTAATAATCCCTATAGTACTCCCCCATTTGATCCCCTATATAACCTCCATTGAGGAGTTTAGACTATAGCTCACAGCCCCACCCCAGGCTGGGTATATGGCCAACCCGCAAAGTCAGAGTCGTGGATTGCAACGCCTCGCTATGACGGCTATGAAAGCCCTGGAAATAGGAGCCCGCAAAAAATGATGCTTACAAAACCTCGAACTCCTTTGTATCCACACAAAAACCCTGTAATCCTTCTACATTCGTAAGCCCTTGAGAAACCCTATGCCCTCTAAGACTACATGTGCACTTCTTGATGCTCCCCGCCTCTGCCATGGGGCTTTGTGACATCTTCTTGGTCGAAGCCATGCCAAGTCATGTTGTACCCTTGGAGAGCCGTCATGTTGCCGGTGCTTAGTAGGGAATGAGGGGGGCAACAGGATATAAGTATGATTCTGAGAGGTTATACGGTTATATAGCATAAACTAATACAATATGAGCACTGCTGCAGGGATCCATTCCTCCTCTGAATACTGACCAGTAGGCCACTCAGTAGACTAGACGGAACCAGCTTATCAGTCTGCTGACATTGCCAACGCAATGAGTATCAGACCCTCACACTGAAGATCAATGGAAGGCTACCGGCCTTGCCATGATTCCTTCTACAATTGCGGCTTTTGCAGGTGTCGCTACACCTCCTATCATCGCGCATGGTTCATCCTCGTGGTGCTATGACAGTCTTCTGATTTCGCCGTTGTGTATGATTTGTGCTGCGAGAGGGAGATCCGTAGAAAACTGGGGACCGTGCCGTGGTTCATGAAGTCGACCACAGGAGTCATTCCTGATTATTCATGGACAGGCTGGCATGGGCAGGGGCGGAAGTGAGTCCTTTGCAAAAGCGTCACTTGTGACAAACCTCACACTGACGGATACATAAAACTCATGAAAGTAGCCTTGATGAAATAAAATACGAAACATAGAGGTTCAAACGTCATTCCGAGGCTGATTAAAATAACATGGCTATGAGAAACCCTGAAATCAGAAGTCGCAACATGGCTATGAGAAACACGGAAATTAGAAGTTGCAGGCCACAACCCTTGACCAAGGCAACGGGCAAACATTACATATCGACTGAAGCACGGCATGAAGGTCTGTAGCATCATGTCGTGGATTGGCGTGTGACCCTATGCATCCTCTATGGATACCTGGACTTTAAGATTTTTTCTGTTTGTTTTTGGCTTGTTTCCATGGAAAGTCTCAGGCGAGAGCTTGATTTGGCAATCAAAATCAGAAAAATTCAATGAAGAGCTCGTTTTTGCATTTCAAATGTGTGAAAATCTCAGGCGACAGCTCGA